ATGTAAAATTTGGACAAATCCTATGTCTTAACCAAGACAGTGTCCTGCTATAGACAGCAGTAGACATATCCTAATACGTGGTAATATGGTGGTGTATTTTTAGGAATTTAATTCCAATAAAATTTATCTTGATAATTATGTGACAACTCATTGAACTATTCCAGACTAAATTTTCAGGATTTTAGGAGGTGATTTGGCTATTCAAAATGTTCAAAAATCGTGACCATTATTTGCAAGTGGCAGAATCGGGTTTTGAGTCCTTGTCAAATTCTTTGTGACTTAAACTTATGAATTTAATTTCTAATAAAATTTATCCTGATAAATAACTCATGGAACTATTTCAACATAAATTTTCAGGATTTTAGAAGGCGTTTATGGCTGTCAAAAAAAATTCAAAACTGTGACCTTTTATCTGCAGAGGCAGTTTCAGTTTTGGCTTCCGTTTAAAGCCATATGGTGCTATAAATTAAGAATTTAATCTGCAATTAAATTTTTCCTGATAGACCATTTATGGAACAATTCCATAGTAATTTTTCAGGATTTTAGGAAATTCATTTGGCTATCAAAAAATTCAAAAGCTGTGGCTTGCTGATGCAGAGTCAGCAATAGTTTTAACTCCACCAACTCGTTTTATGAAGGCCTAATTCCAGGGATTTAAATTCCAAAAATTCTTAGCGAAAATTTGGATAAATTATGGAACCCTTTCATAAAAAATCCTCAGTCAATTGGTGCAACTAATTGCACAAATTTAGGTCTTTCATTGTTGCCAAGCTAAACAAAACCGTGGTTGTCACTACTACAATCAGCAACTGTTTCAGCCATGTTTTGATCGCTTTACCTCCACCATAAACCACATATAATCACCCATGTTGGAAAATTTTCAATGTGTATTGATCCCTTAAATTTCCAATATTTTATAAGGCACTTAAAATTTATTCAAAAGCTGAAAATCAAACCTTTACAAAAGCAGGGTGGAATCAGATTCTCCCTTAAATAACGCACCACAATGTCATCGGATAACCACTTTAATTATAGAATTAATTTGTTCATCTTATGCACTAACTAATTTTCAGAAAGTTGACATTAAAATGAGATTAGCATGGCAACAAGTAAGATTTAAAAATTCACAATAAATTTTCCCAGAAATTAAAATAACTAGAAAACATTATAAAGTTTAGAACTTGCTTCTTTGTTTCCTATAAAACCCGTACACCTCATAACTCTTTCAAACAAGGCATCAACAACTATTTGACATCTTAATGTGTTAAAATCAAGCCATGGATGGCTTTGATACCACTGTTGGGTTTTGCTATGGACAGCATGCTCAAAATTATGCAGTAAAATGAAAATTAAAAACTGTTTTTAGAAAAACAAAACATAACTCCACCCACGGAGTATTAGGGTGATATTTTAACATATAGAATGGTATATAAAATTATAAAATCAGAAGCTAACCTTGTCAACATTCTTCTGATCGGAATAGCAATTTCCTCAATACAACCCACGAACACCACAAGAAGCAAGAACCTTAGTCAATCAAGCTCTTAGCCTCCAATGGCAGATGATTTCACTTGAAATTTTAACTATACTTTTGTGCTAGCAAAAGGGGACAACATTTGTCCCTTTCCACTACTCATAAGGATGGTTGAATCACGCACTTGAAAAATTGCTTAAAATATAATTTTTCTTCTTCACAAAGTAAGTGACAGCACACAAAGAGAAAATCCTTTTTTTTTTTTACAACTCTTTTTCTTCATTTATGAAAAAATAGTTAAATGTGATTTATATAGCTAGGTTAAAATTAACATTAAGTTTGAAATAAGGCCTTCCAAATTATAACACATTATAGTATAAGCCCATGACTTAATTAAATTATTTTACTTAAGCCCAACGGAAATTAAATTGAAGTAAATTTTTTTTATATTATTGCAATTTCGACATTATAATTATGACTGTTTATATATTATGCCCAAAACTTAATTAAATACTTTTTAATTAAGTTTATAAAAGTTAATTGCGTAGCATGTGATTTAAATCTAACTTAAATCATCACTCTCCTAAATTAATTTAGATGCAATCATTGTTTGTGACCCATTTGGCTCTAAACATGTTGGTAGTGAAATTAATTAATGACATAATCCATTAGTATAAATTTCAATCAATTAATTTATAATCAATTCTAGAGAGCAAGATTCTTATCTAGCAATGCATTGTGGCTACCCAATTGTTAGGAGAGTTAAAGGGTTCTTTCACAAGCTTTCAGCGTACAGTCTATTAATGTAATTCATTCCTTCATCATATATCTCAGAGATGATAAGAGCTTGGTACAGTATCTACTATTATTGACCTCCATATTCAGTGTTGTAGTTGTAGCATTAGCTTTATAGAGACTTACGAAACTTTTTTCATAATCTCCAAGTCGCCTTAGCCAAAAACTTAAATAAGTTAATATTATTAACCAAGAACTGAGAGGATATGTCATTTAAAACACTTAAGGTGATAATTCTTATCTTGACTACTCATTCGCCTTCACATGCATCATACTATACCCAAAAGCATCCTATTTAGACATTTTTGGTTAGGCACCCGTAGGGATGAAATTAAAATATATCACTCCACATATAAGACAACTTGGAGTTTCAAGTCTAAGGAATATTTACACGATTGACACATGGGAAACGTTCTGTAGACACTGGAGTGTATTACCAAATGCATTTCTTATGACGGGTCATATTCAATGAACTTGCTCTCCTAGGCGAGCACTTACATTCTAGTTCCAAGTATCTCTATACTTCAATTTATGAGATCGATTGCTTATTTTCAAAGTAAAGAGCATAGAATGTACCACTCTCTAAGCATCATTGATGTTCAATCTCAATGATACATTGATCAGGAACATTTTGAGATTATATTTTGATGTATAGGGATCTCATAACTGCAAGCCATTACAGTTCCCTTGCTAAGTATATTAATCTCAAAGACTTCATCTAATTAGACTTATAACTCATCATAATTAATGTCTTATTAATGAAGAAAACTTCTAATTATTCAATATGAATAATATCATCGCACAATTGGAACCAAGCTTTAACCAATCTCAATTGACTACAGGACTCATCCTAATAGAATGATCTTTTCAATGAAAATTGAGAGTCAACTGGTTACTTATAGGTGATAAGTATACAAAATTCTTCCAATTTATGGCACATACTAGAAGGAGGGCCAACTTCATTGAAAAAATTGTCGATCAATGGGAAAGTGGTTAATAATCCTATAATTTTAAAAGAGAGCCAAACAATTTAAATCTTTTAACAGCCAAAAAACAATTGTCAAACTAAAGGAATTCAATTGCAACTTCCAAGTTTTAAAGGAGCAAAGTGTGTGTTTTTAGGAAAGGCCCTGAATCTACTTAGAAGCTTTACTCTAGCAATGAAAAAATCTAGACAAGTCAAGGAATATGGATGCTGGAATAATAGAATATGTTCGTGGAAAATTGAACTGAGAAGAAGTTTGTTTGATTGGGAGGGTCATCATTGGGATCATTCAGATAAAATCCTAAAGGAAGGTTTTCTTGGTTATTGTTTCTAGATAGACTTATATGGAAAAGTTCCTCAAGGGGAGACTACTCGGCCAAGTCTTTTTGCGAGCTAGCTCTTGACACTGCTTGTCTCAAATTTTATCATTAAAAGTTAGTATGGGCAAGACCTGCGCTCTTAAAATCGAGATCTTACAATTGATAAAGAAGATAGAGTTACTGTGAAAGATGAATTAGTTAAAAGGGGATACTTAAATAAGAGTTTACTTGTCTACATCTTGTGCAAAAGGGAGATTAAATCGATCAATCATTTATTTTCACTGGTTTTGAAACTTGGAAGATTTGGACCATTTATTGTAATATTTGGTGAATTTCTTGGGTTACCACGTGCAATGGAATATCTTTTTTTCCAGCTTGGCATTCTGATATACCAAAAAACAAATATTACAAGGTATGACTAATGGTTTTTTACCATTGCATGATTAATTTGGCTATTTAAGAATGAGATGGGTCTTTAAAAGCAATACATTTGGTTTGGTGCAGCTGATTGATTGATGTTATTAAAATGAGAATTTCTTGGTTTGGTGCACTCTTATTGTGGGGGACACATTTGGCTTCTTTCTTGTTTTTATATCACCGGTTTTTGTTGGACATTTCTGGTACGCCAGAGCGAGGCGTATTCGGTTATGTTATTACTTGGAGCACTCGGCTTCCAAGTAATCCATTGGACTTTGGGGACCATGGAAAGAGCGAGGCGAATTAACAATTGCAAATTACACAATCCAAGAAAACTACTTGCAATAATAGTCTCACTCCCCTTTCAACTCGTGGTCCAAAAGAATGACAAGAGATGGGACGGGTGGGCTTGGGTTGGATTATTTTAAATTCGGATTCTTTTAAGATTGTGTCATAACTTGTTTGATTATTTTAGCTATGGTTCAATTCATTTTGGATTTTTCTTTTTGTAAATCTGAGCTTGACGTTTTAATTAACTCAAAGCTGATTAAATTTGGATTCGGAATTTTTCAAATGAGTTTTCAAATTCAGGTTCATTTTGTCACTTCTAAATAAAATATAATGAAAACATCATAAAAATGGTCCCGAAAATATGCTGCCTCCAAACAAATTTTATTTCCAGGTATTATTTTTTATTTTGTCAAACATCAAACATTGCATTGATAGGAAATCGAAGGATACAACTTCAATAAAAATAAGGCTTAGGTAAGTAAACATGCATTCAAAAAATCATTTTGCCCTGATGAAATTAAACAATAATTGCCCATGATCATTTTTTTTTAATTTTATTATTGGATAGAAAATCATCATCAATCATTTGTCCCCTAAGGATACCAGCATCAGCGGAGCTGTATATAAATTGGCTCATTTACATGGAAATGCTTCACAGCTAAATATTAGTCACAAGATAGAATAACTTCCTTCCATTGTTGTTTAATTTAGAGCAGAAATGGGCTCTCAAACTCCTCTAAAGCTTCCAGTCATTGACTTCACTAAGCCAGACCTAAAACCGGGAACCATTGAGTGGGATTTGGTGAAAGGGCAAGTCAAGCAAGCCCTTCAAGAATACGGTTGCTTTGAGGCTTTGTTCGATAGGATTCCTCTCGATGTTCGAGAGACAATATTTGGAGCCTTGGAAGAGCTTTTTGACCTCCCTTTACAAACCAAAATTCGCAATGTTTCCAAGAAGCCTTATCATGGCTATGTTGGCCAATACCCTCAAGCACCATTATATGAGAGCTTGGGCATTGACGATGCAAACATTATTGAAAAAGTTGAAGCCCAGACTCGTACCTTGTGGCCAGATGGAAACAAAAGTTTCAGGTTCATAAATTTTCTTCTACCGAACTTTCCGGTAACTTTTCGTCAAACTCTTAATTTGGGCATAACAACTACAAACAATTTTTCAGCTTTCAACACGATAACATCTCTAATTTGTGTCTATGATATAGTATGGTCTATATATACATATATTTATTCTCTTATATTTCTTATCCATAATACATATATATTAGTCTCCTAATTAACATGATTTTTGTTCGAAAATCTGTTTGTGGTTTGGAAGGGAAGCTGTCGTTGGTACTACGTAGTTGTTAGCTGTCCGAGTGTCCTATATATGTAATGAGTGGGATTAAACTTTTGTTTCTATTTTCAAATGGTTATTCTGTTTTACTTGCAGCAGCAATTACGAACCCAATGGCTGATCTTCATCTTTGTAACCCTATAGTTAATTGATAAATTATCTTTTTCTTAGCCGAACAAAAAAAAATTAAGTACCTTAACAGCTTTACTTAATCTTGACAGCAACATTATACAATCTTTCTCAAAGCAATTATCAGAGTCAGATCAAATGATTAGAAGAATGATATTGGAGAGCTATGATCTTGAGAAATATATGGATGAGCACATGGACTCGACGAACTACCTTCTTAGGTTAATGAAATATAAAGGGCCGAAAACCACCAAAACAAAGCTTGGACTACACAGTCACACAGACAAGAACATAGTGACCATATTGTACCAAAATGAGGTTGAAGGGTTGGAGGTACAGACAAAGGACGGAAAATGGTTCGATGTGAAACCCTCCAAAGGCTCTTTCATTGTCATGATCGGGGAATCTCTCCACGTATGTCTCTTCCCATTTTCTCTTTTGATGATTTACTTAAGAAAAGTTAACAAAATTAGCGAAATTCATATTTATAACAGGTACTTAATATAGAATAAGTCAAGTAGTACTCTCTTTTATTCAAATTAGTGGCGGATCTAAGATTTTACATGAAAAATGATAAGTAATCATACAACATCATAGATCGGGTCAATCATTCGATTTAAAGAAAAAAAATTAATTGTTTTTTAAATAAAATTAAATTATAATATAAAATTTCATTAGCAATTTGAATATAAATTTTCAAATTCAAACAATATAAATAGACATAAAGTATAAAAAAAATTAACATTAAATTTTCATATTAAGCACTGTAAGCTATACTCAACGCATTTTCATACTTTCAAATTCATCTGTAACTAAATCCATGTCAATGATCCTGTAAAGGATAAATGAATTAGCAAGAAAATTATCATCCATTTTTTTACGTAATCTTGCTTTTATAATTTTCTTAACTGAAATTGTATGTTTTGTAATTACTATACAAACTAGAAGAGTTAAAATAAGTCGAACTAATTGATCTAGGAAAAAATATACAATTGATTTTTCTGTTTTTTGACATTAACTGGCATAGCTCTAAAAAAAATGAAACACTTTTCAAATATGGATCTTGTTTAATATCAAGTTCAAAATGCTCCAATTTATATTTCATATGCAATTAAATCATCTAGCAGAAAATATTCAATTAATTTTTGCAAAATAAAAATAAAAGAGAAAAAAATAAAAACAAAATAATTCCAAAACTTGGGCCAACATGAGCTAAGGAAAAAACGAAGAAAAAAGGAAAAGTAATTTCAAAATTTGAGCTAAGGAACGATAGAAAAATAAAATTCAAAATTTGGACTTAGAAGGGATTGAACCTAGGCATTCTCAATGGTTCAAAATGCTCCAATTTATATTTCACATATGCAACTAAACAATCGAGGAGAAAATATACAATTGAGTTTTTACAAAATAAAAATAAAAGAGAAAAAATAAAAACAAAATAATTCCAATACTTGGACCAAGAGATCTAAGGAAGAAAAAAAGAAGAAAAAAAGAAAAGTAATATCAAAATTTGAGCTAAGGAAAACCAGAAAAAAATATCAAAATTTGGACTTAGAAGGGATTAGGCATTCGGAAATTTAAATTAAGTATCTTATCTCTACTTCAAATCAACTCTTTTGATTTATTTATGGGTAGTAGAGTTATACATTTTGACTTTTATACATATAAAAATAAAAAAAATAAAAGCCGATTCAATTTGAATATTCATTTTTCTTTTTTAGTCTGTGACAAATTATGTTTATTTTTCACAATTCTATTTTTTTATGTTCCGTACTAAATTTTTATACTTTTTTTCTTTTTAACATTAAAGACTATAATTTTTTAATTTTTTCAAAAAGAATATTAAATAAAATTAAGTATCAAAAAGAAAAAAAGATAGATTTCAAACTTTAAATTAAATTTGATATTTGCAATTAAAAGGAATTTACTTACGGAAGTTCAGTATTTAACAAAAATATATGGAATATATTTGAGAAGTGAGCAAACAATCTGTATAAATAAAGTTTCTGTGATAACGTCGCAGGCATGGTTAAATGGCCGACTGCACGCTCCTTATCATCGGGTCATGATGAGCGGAGACAAGGCGAGGTACTCCATCGGTCTGTTTTCAATCCCGAAAGGAGGTTACACGATAAAGGCCCCAGACGAGCTAGTGGATGAAGCACACCCCTTGCTCTTTAAGCCCTTTGATCACGTTCAATTCTTGGGGTTCTACTACACCGAGGCTGGTCAAAAGGCTGAATCTGCCCTTAAAGTTTATTGTGGTGTCCAGAATTAATGGACGATAGGAAAAAGGTTTGCAACTTCGATATTGTCAAAACCTTGTTCTATAAATAATACGAGGGATAAAATAAGGGTTAATTTAAGTTTAATGCTCTTTTGTAATTTAATGAATGATGTATTGGATTTGTATATTAAGTTTCTAGTATGAATAAGAAAAGGATTGTTATCAGTGCCACAATATCACTACAGGGAAACAGGGTTTCAGTGGCTGAAAGTCTCAGTACCACTGCTGGATTCGCATTTAATTTTACTAATTACTAGGGAAACTTGTGCATTATTTTTATCAAATTAATTTGGATAACATAATACAACATGTGCAAATTATAAATTAAATAGAAGCTAGTACAATTAGATAATGTTTTTGGTACAGGAAGGGTTACTACAGTTATAATTGTATAAGTTAATATATAAAGAAATAAATAAACAACAAGAACTGGGCAAATAAAAAATTATTTTTTAGATATTAGATAAATATTAATACTTTGTTACTTGTAAATGTAAGAAACTTGAATGTTAATTAATATATTTCTTTTAGAGGAAATTGTGAGGAATAACCTTTCTTGATAAGAGCATTTCAAAAATAACATCAAAATAAATTTAATTTTTTTAACCATATTTAGCCATGACTTGACAAAAATACTCTTAAAACTATTTCAAATAAATTAAACCATTCATCATAATTTTTCCTCATTTATGCTTCCGATATCTCTCTCTCAACATCTCACTCTCTCTAATTTTATCAATTTCTCTCTTCGACATTCGTTTTCTATGCTCCCGATTTCTCTCTCGTGTTTCTAGATTTCTCTTTTCAGCACTTTGAAGACACCTAACGATGGTTTTGATGTGCTTGAGTGGATGACTATTTGGAGAATTTGATTTTTAGATATTTCGGATAAAATTAAATAGTAAAAATGATCATAGATTTTTGAAATAGCTTTTAATCGGATCAATTCAGAATCTAGACACCAATAAACTCAAAAATTTAAAATTTATAAACCTAGGTTTTCAATGAAAATTTTTTTTCGATTTTAACTCAAAATAGGTATTTTAGATAAGAAAATTTGTGTTTTGATTTATAAAAACATGTTAGAAACACTTTAATTGGTGCCAAATTGTCAAAAAAATAAAAAATAAAAAAATAAAGAGAGTTGAGAAGATTTGAAGTTTTGGTTTGTAAGTGACAATAACAGTTTAGGCATTAAAGTGTAACAAAATATTTTTGAATATGACATGTAACAACAATATTTTTTCAACATGGTGTGTAATAATAGTATTTTTTTTTTCAACATGACGTGTTATAATTTTTTTTTAACCATGGCGTGTAACATCTTTTTGTACATGGCATGTAACATCTTTTTATACATGGCATGTAACAATAATATTTTTTTTAACATAATGAGTAACAACCTAACAATGGCATATAACATGTTTGTACATGACGTGTAACAACTTAACCATGACATGTTACACATTTTTATACGTAGCGTGTAACAACCTAATCATAGCGTGTAACATGTTTCTGTACATGGCGTATAACAACTTGACCATGGTGTGTAATAACCTAACCATGACGTGTAACATGTTTCTGTACACGGTGTATAACATCTTGGCGTGTAATTTCATTATGGGTAATTTTGTCCAAATTAATTAAAAATAGTTAAAATTATAAAAGAAGCTATTTTTGAAAACATCTTATTTTCAAGGATTATTTTTTAAAATATCCCTTTCTTTTAAATGAGTTAAAGGCCCCGTTTATTATTTGGGTTGAAAAGTCCAGTTAGTTAATTGGACTTAAATCTAAACTGTGATTTAGACTTAATAGATCATTTGGGCCATGACTCACCATGGTAGTTGTCTTTTCCCCACTCTCACATCTCTTCCTCCAAACAAAGCCTCCCCAAATTGGCTCTTGAGAGAACCAATTATTTCCCACACCTTGCAATCCCAAAGCCACGTTCAAACCACTAGTCTCTTCCATCAATCGCCATTATCAAGTCCTTTCTATATATATATACATAAATATATGTGTGTGTGTGTGTATTGTGAAGTGCAGGTCCGAGAACTCAACCACTAGACGTCAAAAATTTAGGGAGTTGTCATCAATTTTTTTTATCAAGGTGCGATTGGTTACCTATTGAATTAGTTTTATCCGACGGAGTTCTAAATCGACTTTAGGTCCAGCTAAAGAATAATAAATTGGTCTAAATATTTTGTTTAGAGTTTGGTTTAGGAGTACGGTTATGCTCAAGGAAGGATTAGCATCCCCATAACACCCGTTCCACGAACAGTACCATTTAATCATATGTTATCATAACCCATTGATTTTATTCTTATGTTTTTTTAATTATTATTTATTTATTTTATCTTTTATTCTATTAACAAATTAAAATATGTTATTTAGTTTTACGGGTGTGACATGCATCTGATATAATTGTGAAACACATGGCATAAAATCATAATAATGCCAAACGAAAACCTTTTATTGAGTTTACTTTCCAAATCCATTGATCATATTGGTGGGATCTGGGATATTCTCTCACATAAGGAAATACTCGAGAAACTCGCCTTTGTGAGTTTAACGAGTAAATCTCATTATTGGGGTAATCGTCTGCAAGTAATAATAATATTTTTCATAAATATAAACCTATTACGAGTGGAGGCCCTTTTTTAAAGATATTCTTCGAGCCTTCTCATCATATTGGTGGGACTCGAAAGTATCTTTTCACTTAGAAAATTTTTCAAATAAACTCGCCTTCACAAACTCTCTTAGAAAGTCCCATCATCGGGGCTTATAGTCATATACGGAATATGACTACATGCCATGACATTTAACAATGCAACAATGAGGTGTGATGTACCCATAAATTTCAATAATTCATTTTTTAAATTTCCCATAATCCCTTTGTTATTTCCTTAATAATTATTCGCTTTTGCACAAAATAGTATTTTGCATTTATTATTTTTATCCAACTATATTTTATCTTATTATATATATTTTTATATTTAAGTGTTTATCTATTTGCTATGTACATTTTCGATATACCTAAAGGCTATTTCTTTAATCAAACATTTTATTTTGGAATTATTATTATTTATGCACTTATTTCTATTCACTCAATTTTATTTTTTCTAATTACCTAACTTATTTTCTTTTGACTAGCTATTTTGTTTCTCTTTTCTCATCAGTCTATTTTTTGTGATATTATATATATATATATATATATATATTTGCCTTTATATTTTTGCCATATTCATCATTATGGTGAATTTATTATTATTTTTTGAATTCTTGTTAATTATTTATCATCATGAATTTCATTGTTTCATATAATCCTATATTCTTTTATAACTTCACATATATATTTTATCCATTTCTTGTTGTATTCATTATTATTATTATTATTATTATTATCATATTTATCATTACCATCACTTCCTTATCTTTTCTTTTTATGTTTTGACTAATTGGTAATTAAGTGTATATATAATTTTCATTTATTTAAAATTAGAAACATCAGAATTCAAAATTAATATCCTCCCATCATACTGATGGGGTCTTAATTAAAATCCCTAATCTAAGGAAATTCATTCAAAATTGTGACTCCTCACATCCCGAATGGACATCCCATCATCGGTATTGATTCTAAAATAATCATTATATTTTATATTTATGATTCCATACCGAGTCATCATATTCTTTTGTCTTTCTTGGATATATCTATATAGAGAAGTTTGCATAATTATCATTTTATTTCTATTACATACCTAACTTATTTTCATTATATATATTTTCTCTTCCATGTACTTAATTTTTTCCATGTAATTATATATTTTATCATTATTATTTCACTTAGCCTATTTTTTATGACTAACTATCTTTTGTGTGTGTGTGTATTTTCACGTTTCCATATTTTTTTAGTTAAATTAATTTTAATTAGATATTGTTTACTTAGATCTATATTTTTACTACTAGATATTTATTTATTTATTTCTCACATACACTTATAGCTTTTAACCTAAATCTACTATTATTATTTTAGATTGGACGTTCAACTTCTTCCCTTATGTATCCATATTCCATCTAACTGTGCCAATTCCTTTATAACTAAATATTATCTACTTACAACCTTCTTTCTATCATTATTCCACTTTTATTTTTTTTGCTCTAAAACATTATGTAATTTTTGTGATATATATATTTTTCTTTTAGCTAAACAAATTGCTAAATAATAGATTTTGGGCTAAATAAATAACAAGTCCAATAAACAAATTTCAAACCAACAACAGTAAAAGACAGGGCTTTACCTCATTGGGCTAGAAATAACCCAAAAGAAGGAAGCGCGTTTGCTGTGGTCCACCAAGGATGTGAAACGCACCGTATAGGTGCTTGTGAAGCAAATTTAAGGCACTTTCAAAATAGCATCATTTGATCTTGAGAATGATGGGTTCCTAGCAACTTGAAACGGCACCATGTAGCACCTAAAACCTTCTTTTTTCTTTTCTTGATTTCTACCTTACACCAAAAACCACAACTTTCTCTCCCTCTCACAGTAGCTGAACCTTCTTTTCACTCCCACCATCTTCTCCCCACCAAACCCATTTCTCAAAAATCAACTTTTGTAAACAATGGTTTTTTGTTTTTTTTTTTTGTTTTTGGTGCTTTTTGTTTTTCCTTTTGATTGTGGTTTCTGGTTGGTAGAAATAAGGATTTTTTGTAAGATTTGTTGGTTGTTGGCTTTTTGGATACTGATATCTTAGGGTTTTTTGGCTTTATAGATCTCCCTCTTTTTGGTTTTTCAATTCAGCCCACCTTTCCCATGAATTTCAAAGGTTCTTATAGAACTTGATTGTCCAAATTTTTGGACAATTTAAAAGTGAAATCATGCTTTTCTGAGAATAATTTCACAAGGCTCCAAGCAAAAGTAGACTAAAGGGTGGCAGCTAGAGGCAACCACCTCCCCAAATCTGGCAGTTCAAGGGGCATTAAATGCCTTG